AGAGAGAGAGAGACAAAAATGGAAGGAGTGAAGAAAGCATGGGGGAGTGGGGGAGGGGTGGGAGAAGAGAGAGAGAGAGAGAGAGAGAGATAGAGAGAGAGAGAGAGAGAGAGAGAGAGAGAGAGAAGTGTGTGAGGATGAAGATTGGCCACATCTTTACCCTAAAGTTTTCTAAGACAGGAGCTTGACCCCTTAATGAAATAATGAGAGCCATTCATTGAGTCTATACTGTATCATTCACTTTACTGGCTATTTGCCCACCAACGTGGTTTTCTTAACCAGACACTCGCTCAGACTCCAAGACTACTGTTGGCCATACATGGCAATCAAGGCTACAAGCCAGGAAACAGAGCATGTCACAGACCCTATAAAGTTAAGCCAAGGTCAGATTTGCCTTAGAGAAAGTTTAGAGGGCTTTGTTAACCTTTGCTCAGGGTGAGGCACTAGAATATAATGATGACTAAAACATGGTCAATTCTTTTTTTTGTTTGTTTTTTAAAGATTTTAATTGGGGAATTGGGTGATGGGAACAGTGCTGGGGAATTGGGGGAAGGGAACAGACAAGTTGCTGTCCTTTTGTTCTTCAGTCTAGTTGTGGAGGATGTTGCTTCACTGGCCCAAGTAGGCACCATCATTGCGCTCTTCCCTGGTGAGGCAGATCAGTCACCGGCTTCTGGACGGCTACTCATAGTGGCTGCTGGCTACACACGGTAGCCCTTGACAACCCACTGTAACAGGGGCTGCAGCCTATGCCGTCGCCGGTGACTCACAGCAGCACAGCTCCAGGTTGAGCTATTGTTCAGCATCTTAGCTGTAAGGACAGTGTCACTGGCCCTCATATGTGGGATCCGAACCGGGGCCCTCTGGCATCCCAAGCCAGCTCTCAATCAACGTGCCACTCGGCCGGCCAAAACATGGTCAATTCTAATATGCAACCTGTTCTATGATGGAGACATTGCCAACATTTCAAAAGAACATGGAGAGAAGTGTGAGTCCCTCTGTCCAGGACAGCGAAAGCTTAGCACATATTTGTTACTCAATACATGCTTGTGAACTATTGGGATGGTCTTCAGAGAAGATACCTGAACTCCATTTTAAAGGATAAACAGTAGTTAACAGAACAGGATCATGTCTTTAAGTAGAATGAACAGCATGTACAAAGCCCTGGACTACTGAAAAAGCACAGTATATTTGGGAAATTGTAGAGTTTAGTGTCGGTGATCTTTAGGTTTGAAGGGGAAGTGTGACTAATGTTGAGCTAGCATGGTTAGGTAGTTTGTGAAGGGTCTGAGAAGCTAGCAGCGGTTTGACATACCTCTTATAGGCACTGGGAAGTGTGCGATATGTTGTATTTATTGTAGTAAAAATTCTGACAATAGGTTTACATTTCAGGTACCCATTCTGGTAACAATACAGAGGACGGGCTGCTGAGGAGGGAAATGAATAGGGTGGGGGAGAGGTGTCACAAGAAAAGACCAGTTAAAAGACTGCGATAGTTACCTACAGATAAACGATCCTGGAATGGAAACATTCAAAGGCTCTTTAGGAAGTTGAGCAATATAACTAATGACTAATAGTACGCAGTGTGGGTGAGAGAGAGCAAGGAGCTTTCTGATTACAAGAGCAGGTAAGAGACGGCCTTGCCTTTAACCAAGATGGGGAATATGTAGGAGAAATATCCAGGGGGAACAATAATGGTTTGATCTTTTGTGTGCCTTTGGAGCACATGAGCAGCAATTGGGTGAAGATAACCAGGAGAGTTGACAATATGGATGTGAAGATCAAGCAGAGGTTCCTGCTTCAGGTACAGATGTGGGAGTTGAGGCTGTGGAAGTCCTTATACATCCCGCCCCGGGGTGAGTACGGGGCAGGACAGACGTGAATGGTGATGCTATCCGAGTTGTAGGAGAAAGATCCAGGGATGGACATGGAGAACAGGCTGACAGACAGGAAGAAGTAAAAGAGAATGACATGAGAGCATTCCTGTAGGGCAGCGGTTCTCAACCTTCCTAATGCCGCGACCCCTTAATACAGTTCCTCATGTTGTGGTGACCCCCAACCATAAAATTATTTTCGTTGCTACTCTATAACTGTAATTTTGCTACTGTTATGAATCGTAATGTAAATATCTTTTTGTTTTCCGATGGTCTTAGGCGACCCCTGTGAAAGGGTCATTCGACCCCCAAAGGGGTCGCGACCCACAGGTTGAGAACCGCTGCTGTAGGGAGTTGTCTAAGGGATGAATTTCACCTCAAATGTTTTTATAAAGAGATTGTTCATAGAAAAGGATGAAAATGAGGCTGCTCTTGGGTGGCTTTGACTTTTAAACATCCAGAATTGTGTTGTATTTTGTATGATTGTATTTATTAAAGACATGAGCTTTTGAAAAAATAACTTTGTAATTGTAATAATAATCCCAATAAATAATCAGCCATGCCAGTTCATGCCTACATCTTAAATCTCATAAAGACCAATCACTCATACACCCCTTTGGATGAGATCAAGTGACTCTAGACAGGTATCTCCAAGTTCCCTCCAAGGTCCCTACCTGCCTCATGCTCCCTAAGGCCACAGTTCTGTGGGACAAAGGGTCACACCAGTCACAGCACTCACAGGCCCACCCACTTCACTCCCTTGGGTAATTCTCTGCCTATTGATCCTCAATCTGGTCTCTGGAGACTTGCTCCCCCTGGCTGGTTAGGGTGAGGCTTTCTGGGCCCCATGCTCTTGGACACTGGGACTTCCAGCTATTTGGGGTCACACCTTCCAGCAGGATACTGAGGCATCTGCAAAGCCTCCCCAGGTCCCGAGGGGATGCCTGTCTGCCTGGTGAACTTTTTAGTCCTCTGTCTGCTGCCTGCTACTTCTCCGCAAGTCGAAACTCACTCTTCGTTATCACATCTCTGAGAATCACCTCCAATCTCTCAGCCTAGTTCCAAATAGGAACCAGAGCTGAGCAAATGGGAAACAACTAACCCCTCTACTGCTATTCAACCCAGCAGGTATTTACTGAGCCTCTGCTCTGCCAGGCATCTTTTGAAATAGTGAGGTTACCACATGACCCCCGGGAATGTCTGGGCAGACATACAGTAAGAACCTATCAGACAAAAGACTATGGCAGATGGATGTACTCATCTGTCACAGAGGCCATGATCCAAGTCCCTGAGATGTGGTGGAGGTGGTATTCTGGAAGTGCTTAAAGTATGTGTGTGTGGGGGGGAGAGGGGGACGGGACTCAGAATTTTATTTTCTTTAGGGATTTGCCTTCAGACAGAAGCTTTTAAGTTTTTATCAGAAGCAATATAATCCTTTTACTAAACACTCAAGAGTAGAAAAATTAACTCACAATATCAGCATTTTAACACAACTTTTAGTGTTTTGTTTTGCTTTTTTCCTCCTACACATTTTTATTTTTATAGAGTTGTAACCAAAGAAATGTAAGGAGATAGATCAGAATACAGCTATCATAAGTGTGTTTTTTCACTGTACTAATTATAATTTTAATGATGGAGTAACATTCTATCAGGTTGATGATATCATTATTTACTTAATGTTGTTGAAAATTTGTAGTTTTCCCGCTTATTTGCTATTATAAATAAAGTTATAGGCATTTCTTCCTGAATATGCCTTTTTCCTATATTTTGGATTATTTCTTTAGGACAAACATTCCAAGTTACAGTTACTGAACCAAGGGTCTGAATATTTTTATGGCCTTAAAGTGAGTCTTTTGAAAAACAACTGGCAATATGTATCAATTTTTAGTGCTGCCAGCGGCAAATGAGGGCACCTCTTAATTCAAGCTTCACCAATATTAGCTATTTTAAGTTAATAAAAAATCCTGCTTTCGTAAGTGAAAACAAGTGCTGCTTTGCTGTTTTTCTTTAATTTACATTTCCTCCATGTTTGTTTATAACTTCTTATTCCTTATCTGCAGCCAGTCTATGTTTTACTCAGAAACGCTCACCCTCTAAGTACAGAAAAATAGAAAATACGGGAGGAGCTTTTGCAAAAGTTCCCAGCAAACAATAATTTGGAAAGCATTTGCAATAGTATCTAGTTTCAGTAAAAATGTATATAAGAGCAGAGGACGCAGTAAAACTAACAATTCTGCACCTAGCAGTTCTAGAGAACAACAGAAAGAAAGCCTGGATGTGTCTTGAAACTTGTGCCTAAAATGCTTCATTGAAAACCATGTCTAAGCCTTGCCTATACCTGTGCATATGCTGCTCCTTGTTACTGACTCGGGTTCCCCGCTAGGACCTTGCCCTTCAGTCTAAACATCTTTGCAGGTAACCAGTGTCCCCGAAGACCAGATCCTGGTTGCTGTGTTCCCTGGCCTCCCAACTTCAGCTGAGCTCTTTATCCTCCCCCCGAAGAACTTGACAGAGAGGAGGAAAGGCAATGAAGGGGACCTGGAACAAGTAAGTGACAGAAGACTTAGCGAGAACACTTGCCTGTACCGCTCATTCTAAGGGGACCCCCCAGTTGGATCCAGCCAAAATGTGAGACAAGCTCTCTCCCGTGGGCCCATCAGCCTGTCACTATTTGTCCAGTACCCAGGGCTTTGAGGAGCAATCAGCCTGACTCAGAATAGACACAGATGCGTATAAATGGGAACGTTTAGCCACACTGGAAGGAAAAGCCCCCCGGCATCATTCGTTCCACCAGTGGGCGTTCCTGCAACTTGCTCCCGTCTCCCATCCCATGACTTGTCCTGGGGGAGAGGGATGGGGGAGTGAAAGAGAAGAATTTGAGTTTCGCTATCTATTTTTGGGGAAATGTGCTTCTTCTCGTCTTTAGAGATCCTGGTCAATCTAAGTTCTGCTTCTGAGGAGAACATGAACTCATGTTTCTTTGGAGAGAGATGGGCTGTCTCATCTCGCTTTGACGAAGCAAGTAGCATTTGCAAGCGAGATTGTGATTTACGGTCCTTACCAAATGGGCATATGGTACCTGTGATCTGCACACTATCCAGGAAGCCTAGGAGGTGGCCGGTCCCATGGTTCTCTCTCTCTCACTCTCTGCTCCTACTGGGGTCTTAGTGGCTGTGTCCTGCTTCCGTCTTCCCTGGCTCCCTGTGATGCTAAGTCAGAAGTAGAAATAAGTAAGAATGAGGCTGCTAGAAATCGGCATGAGTCAAACACATTGTCTTCCATGTGAGGTAATCATTGTATAGACATCTTCCGTGTCCCTCTGATACTCACCTGGCCATCACCCCATCTCCACATCCATCTTCAGTCCTCCTCCAGCAGCGTAGATATCGTCACAGTCGGTTTCTCTGGAAAATGGAGCGGATCCTTGCATTGCAGGGTTGCATAGTGAAGTTGGCCAGGAATGAATTCAGCTTCTCAGTGCATACATCACTTTTACAAGACCTCTTTATTCTGAAATAGCAAGTGGCATGTGTGAACTATATTTGGAAGCTACAATATCCATCCATTTAGATAAATAGGTAATTATGGTGATGAATAGCAGCTGTGATATTAAAGCGTGTACAGCGAGATAAGAGTTAGGGACAACAGCCTAAGTCTGCCTCTGCTTTCATGTGGGAATTACGGAGTGATTAAATCGATGTTATGTGTTCTGAGACTTGCTGGGGAAGAGTAAAGAGGAAAAATTATCCCATAAAAAGGAGGCAGCTTCTGCTTTGATGTTTGCCTCCCATTGTCTCTAAGAGAAGAAAATAAATAAATAAAAAAACAGAGGAGTGGGCTGGGGTATACGTGCCTGCTTTAATTCTAGCCAGGCCCTCTCTACCTGTGTCTATTATTTGATCAGATTAAAGAGCTAATGATGGGTTGACTTTCTGTCACTGGAACTCACACATTTTTCTATGGTGAGTTAAAAGGTGTGGGTGAAAGAGCACTGAACTAGGGGTTGAATGAAACATTGATATCTGTTATCAACTCTAATTTACTATGTGACTTTGGACACACCTCTTTCTGTCCCGCTCTCGTCTCTGGTGTGCGTGAATAATCCCAGCTACTTCCTTGGCTTCACAGGGCTCCCAGAGAACCAACCTGATATAAGGTTCCAATATCCTGTCCTCTGATTGAACACAGTCGTTTTTGGCCTACTGATCCTGATTTCTTACTCCATGAGGGAACATTGTCGCATGTCATGCCTTCTCATGCAGCCTCTCTCTCTCTCTCTCTCTTTTTTCTAGATTGTAGAGATTCTGTTTAATGCCCTAAATCAAAACTTGGTTCAATTTGAACTGAAGCCAGGAGTTCAAATCATTGTGTATGTCACACAGCTGACATTAGGTGAGTGAGCACCTGTTGGGGTTCAGGGGGAGATGGGCATCGTGGCCTGTTTTCCTGGAGAGAAAAGGGAGGAGATAATTACCAAATATTATACTTCTCCATAAAAGCCTGAAAATGGCTTTGTGGCAGGGCTCTTTTGCATGTAGATAATTACGAAAGATTAATTACATCTTTCTCAAGGCTTTCTGTTGAGGTGGCAAGAAGACTTTGTTAGACGTGGCTGTGCTATTGAATCCCTGGATGATCTGGGGGGAACACCTACAATTTCTTGGGGTCTTGACTTTATTATTCGTTTTAATCTGCAACAGTTGGGATTATATTAGGTAGCCCTCAGAATCTCTTAATTTCTGCAGTTCTCTAATTCTCTGAATCTAGGTCTGGAGGCCAGATCCATCAACTTTAAAACTCCCTTAGATTTACAGTGTATAACTCTACGTGGAAACAGGGCCAGCTCTAGTTGGTTGATTTGTAAAAGTAATAATAAAAAAAGACATGTGCCACTGGGCATCCAATACTGGCTCTCTGGGCGAGCCTATTTGCTAAATGTTTCTTATTGATAAAATACTTTTCAGATGTGGAGATTCCAAATGCACTCATCCAGCAGTGTTTCACCAGAACAGTATAAAGGAAGAGACTGAAACGTTGTATCAGTGTTTAATCCAAAGTTCACAGTGGGCCACCTCTAATCGTGTTGACAGACAGGTTATGGAGAAAGCATCCGAGTCCTTCTTCTATCCCCCTTATTGATACATGTTGCTCAGTTTATACAAAGAACAGCAAGTCTCCCCAGGCAGAGCAGAAGAGTTTACTTTCCCTGAGAAGCTGATTGGGGTACCATTTCAAATCTTTGACACCAAGCTTTCTGTGCCCAGATAGCATGCAGGGCAACTGGGAGACTGGATATAGATGGATACCACCTGGCCTCCTTTCTCCAGTAGGTACTCCCTCCAGCTAATAGCTTCCAAGTGAGCATGTCTGTTCTCTCCTCCTAGCTCCATTGGTGGACTCCAGTGCTGGGCGCAGCAGCTCAGCCATGCTTATGCTCTTGTCAGTGGTGTTTGTCGGCCTGGCTGTGTTTTTGATCTACAAGTTTAAAAGGTATGTGCTACCATCATTCAATTTTGATCTTGGGGCTCAATTCATGGGAGCCGATTCTTCAGAAAATCAACATTCCTAAACTCAATCCAAATACGTGATATTAATTCTCCTGGAAGCTCTGTTTGACATTGAGGAAAAGCAGGAATGGTTGAGGGCTAGGGAATAAAATAAGTTTAAGAATCTGAGCTCTATCCAATTTATAAGTATATTGAGTTAGGGAAAGAAGGGATAGTCTAGGAAATCGATTTATTCTCTTCAAGAGAACAGTCAGGGGTTTTCCAACCTCTCCTAAATTTCTTAAGTCAGGTCTCAAATATTCAGGATATGTTTTTCTACAGCTTAACAACCATTCAGGGCAGTGGAGTAGAGAAAGTGCAGCTGAAATCCGGTATGCACATGTGTATGAACACACACACACACACACACACACACACACACACACACACTTCCTTGTGTTATAGCTATACAGTATTTTTGTTTAAATTTGCATGCTAAAAACATTTAACCTTTCCCTCCCCCCCACCACCTTTTTTTTTTTCCTGTTTCTAAAGGGGAATTGATCAGGGAAACCAAACTTTACGTGTATTCAGAAATTATGTTTAAAGGCCACAGGAAGAGTAATATGACAGGATACTTATTAAAAATGTGAAATAGAAATCAATAATTCTGTACTATTATTTGAATAATCTAATACTCTGCCAAGAGGTATGCCATTTAAGAATATGAATTCTGAAATCATACAGACCCAATTCTAACTTTTAGCATTTGTAAACTTGGGCCAATTGAATTTGCCTCTCTAAGCCTTAGTTTCCTCATCTGTAAAATGGGGAAAACAGTAGCACTGTACAGGTTTGCTATGTGGTTTAAATGTAATACTATCTATACCTGGTACATACTAAATAATCAACAAATCTAAAGCTATTGTTCTAAACAACATACCTTCCAAAGGTGCCTTTTGGGCCACAAACTGGCACATAGTAGGCTCACAAAAATCATATCAGTGGCATAGAAATATGTTTCATTGGAAGCCTGGGTAAAGTAAAAATATCATTATTTACTGTCAGATGTGTCAGAAAGCAGAACTTGGTCCTGGGAGTTTTTCTCGGTATTGGAAGAAAATGCTTTTAGATATTGGAAGCGATCAGTGGTAAAGGTGCTTCATTCTACCCCGTTTCCCAGCCCCCTTTAGCTCTCCTGTAGCGGCTTAAGAACATCAGCTCAATCAATATCTATCTCAGCATTAGCCTCAACAGCAGGAATCCTTCAACACCCTCCAGCAGAAGTACGGAGTGAGGTTTACCTTTCTACTTGATTTATAGTAGTGCATGAGTCCATGTCCTCTTGGATCAGCACGTGTCAGCCCACCTGCCCATGTTCCTTTTGAAGATGGGGGGAAAACCCTTCACATCACAGTTAGAGAGCAAAGATTCAATACAGAAACAGTCTCGTCAAGGCAATACCTATTTCTGGATGTACTTCAGTTACACGCAAAGTGCACTTTCATTCATCCAAGGATTTGATTGTGGGGAAGCCTGGTGGTTACATTTATCCTTCTGGCTTCTAGAACTCCATGGTGGCTGAGGGCAGGGCCAGTAGAAGTCCTGCAAAAAGATATTTGTGTCAGCCATCTCCAAATTCAAGCAACACTTATTCCGTGATTTAGAAAGTTTTCTGTTTTCTTATAAATGCTGCTAAGCTTCTTAGACAGACAACATATGAAAGTAGGCATCTCTCAATGTGTACACTCCAGTACCTGAATCGATGCCAGGTAGTGCCAGCTCGGAATTATTCTACCTCTGTCGTCCCTAAATAGCAGCTAACCCTTTGTATGTTCTGACAGTGAATCGTGTGGCTAAGGCTGCAGGAAACGAACACCAATCAAACTGGATAAATGGTGGGGTCAGCTAAGAGTTACCAATCAGCAGTTTTCTTTTCTAGCCACCTTTTCTAGACGTTTTCCTGCCAATGCTCAAGCTCTTTGGTGGATATCCTGTTGGATACTCTTTTATTGCTTTGTTTTTCTTTCCTCCCCATCGCCTGGAACTCCACTGTGGCGCTATGGAGGGTGCCAGACTTGCTGACATGTAAAGGTCACGTTCTTACACCCGATTCCCAGAGTCTCCTTTGCTTCTTTCATTGCTGTCCAATAGAACTTTCTGCAGTGTTAAAAGTGCTCCCAAATCTGTACTGTCCAACACAGTAGTTACTAATGTGATCAAGGAGCTGAATGGTGAAATTTATTTAACGTTAGTCCATTTAAATTTAAATAGCTACACCTGGCTAGTGAACACTTGGATTACACAGTCTAAGTTCTGTTTCTGTTTCCGTATCACTGGCCATGCTGTTTTCAGACCCAAAACCTTCTCTCTCTGATCATCAGCATTAAGTCATTAAGCCAGTCATTCATTCAACAAACATTCATTGTGTGCCTACTGTGTGCCAGGCACTGAAAAGAATCTCAGTGTACAAAGTCATCACCTCACAGGGGAAGAGAATAGCGTTACCATCAGCCCCAAGCTTCCTGTAAGTAAATATCACCCTGTCTCTCACATTTGATCTTGTTCTTGGATAGTGACTGCCATTTTCTGATGTTTTAGGCAACATAATTAAAAATCGTTATGAAATGGCTTTTATTTTCTGAAAACTGCCTAATAAGACTTCCTTTTTCTATTGTACATTTGTTTTTTTCTGGTTATCCAAGATAACTTTTGAGGTTTTGTATTTCTTTTACTCTTTGTTTTCTTTTCTTTTTGTTCTTTTTTTCAGTAAGATTTTCATTATAATCTGAAGACGACTTTGCTTTCTTTAAATTTCCTTCCATGGACTTCTAACCCTATCATAGTTGGAATAAACAAATAAAAGCTTAAGTTTTTATAGGTGACTTGGGTTGATCCACTTACTCCTCTTATTAAAACCTATATGAATGTGTAGCCCAAGACATGCCTCTATATCTCTGTTTCCCACCCTTTCTTATCTGCAAACTTTGGGCTTAGTCTTAGATTCTCAGCAGTACTACAAGGGGGAGTGTTAAGCAATGAAAAACAATTTGACAATTTTTTTAAATGCTGAAAATTGTGACATATAAAATTCATTCCCTTCCAATCATCTATTAAAAATGTTAAATAAACCTGCCTGTTTTTAGAGACTGAAATAGAGTGAACAATCTTTCTAAGGGCAAATTTATCTGAATCCTCACAGGTATCATTAGGAAAGCAGGAAGGGGCGGGGGCGAGATGGTGAACTCTGGCCCCCGCCTCTGATGTATACAGGCTTGTGTGACCAGGAATCGTTTGCCCCCAGCACCTGATAAATATTACAGTTGATCCCAATATTCATGAGTAATGTGTACTTTTATGATTAGAAGACATCTTAGCCGTTAGGTTGCATTTCTATTTAGATAAGAAGAAAGTAAGGGCCAGCATGAATTTTTAATTAGACACAGTTAGAGAGCCTGCAGTTTGCAGCCTCACGTACAGTCTATTCATTCAAGGTTCTTATAAATTATATTAAGCTGGTTCAGAGCAGTAGGAGTCACAAGGACACCTCCCTTAGTATATGCAAAGCAACCATTAAAGACATGAAAACCAAAGATGAAAGAAAGGTACAAACTACCCGTGTTTTAAACCTATTTTTGGATCTTTCTTTCCGAAAACCTTATTCAATGCCCCCATGCTCTCCCTCATTGGGGGTTGGAGTGGAGCGGAGAGGGGAATGTAGAAGCTTGAAAATACCACCTGTTGATGCTAGGACAACAGAGTGATTCTTCTTTAGAAATGCATATAGGGCCGGCGAGTGGCTCAGTTGGTTAAGAGCTCGCTCAAGAGTTTGAGCTCTGAGCAACAGCGGTTCGATGCCAGCCCGAGCTGAGCAGCCGCTAAGCTACCAATAGGTAGCAGGATGGCTCAGCTAAAAAAAAAAAAAAAAAAAAAAAAAAAGAAATGCATAGAACATTCTGGGTTGGGGAGGGTGTCAGATGTGTCGAGTTTTAATGACGTTTATGCCAGTAACCAGCTTCATGAAATGGCAGGACTTCAACCCAGTTTCCTCATTTATTGAGGTAGAGAGATCTCTTCTAGATGTAATATTCCAAGATAAAAAGTGTGATCTTTTTGCTTGAGAACATAATACACGAAAGGAGAAAGAGCACAGGCTTTGAGGTCATTTATTCATCCTTCAACAAATTCTTGCTGGATGTAAACCACGTGCCAGGCACTGTACTAAGTTAAGTGTATAACAGTGACGATAAAAGCCTAGACCTTGCACACATGGGGCTTAGAGGCAGAGAAAGATAGAAAACAAGTTAACAAACATTGCCTATGACATCACCTTAAATCAACACCCTATTCACGTCTTTCCTAAGCAAGTCCTATTTCATATCTATAACAGGAGAGGTTGGGTGGTCAGGAGAGCCTCTTGGAAAGGAAATGTAAGCCAAGTTCTAAAAGGCAAGGAGGACGCCATCATGAGAAGAGTAGAAGGAGATATGTTACAGATAGAAGGGACAGTTGATTCAAAGTCACCAAGGTGGGGAAGAGTTTGATGTATTAGAGTTTTTCAGCTCAAAGTTTAGGTCTCAGACCAGCAACATCAGCATGACCTGGGAGCTTGGCAGAAATGCAGAATTTCAGCCCATCCTGTCCAGACCTATAGATTCACAAAAGCATTTTAACAAGAACCTGGGTGATGTATAATCACATTATAGCTTGAGAAGCACTGATTAGAGGGATTCAAAGGAGGCTACTGTAGGAGCACAGTGGGTCAGGAGATAAGGAGATGAATCTTTGAGATTTTAATTTGAACCTGCCTGTTCTCCAACCTCATTTCTGCCTGCCTTGTTTCCAAACTTACTCTGTGTCTTGGAAGGAAGTTATTTAGCTTCTCAGTCTTTGCATTAATCCTCTCCACAATCCTAAAAGGAAGCTATTGTGATTCCTATTGAGCAGATGAGCAAACTGACTATTGAAGTATTTAAGATACTTGGCCTGTGGATGGTGTTTTTAAAATGGTAGCAGTGGCTATACATCTTTTATTTCTTGGCTATTCATAAAGGAAACCAATGTGAATTGATTAAAGTGATGGAATTTTCACTATGATTCAACCTTATGGGTCTCCAAGTTCAGCTCCTTTAAAAACGTATTAACGGGTCAACGGTTTAAGGATTTTAGTGCGCATCTGAATGACAACATTATCCTTCTGTTTACGCCTGATTGTTTTTTACCCCAGAAGAAGATGCATTATTCACGGAGCTCTGTTGTTTACACCTCCCTGGGCATCCGGGTCTCTGACCTTGTGTTTCTCGGCCTCACGGCCACAGTGTCTGGGCGACTAGCCCCTTCCCCTGACTTTGGCTTTCCCTATGAATAGCATTCCCCCCCCCCCCCCCGCTTATCACCCAGGATTTCCAACCGCCCATGTTTGACATGCCCTGTGATCATAATCTGATTTTATTCTCCTCACCATGTAGGAAAATCCCCTGGATTAACATCTATGCTCAAGTTCAACATGACAAGGAGCAGGAAATGATTGGGTCAGTGAGCCAAAGTGAAAACACCCCCAAAATCACCCTCAGTGACTTCACCGAACCCGAGGAACTGCTGGACAAAGAGCTGGACACCCGGGTCATAGGTATGTGTGCTGCTACCACCAAGGCCCTGTGTCCTCTGTCCTCCAAACATGAGGTCAGCCAACCTACTTGGCCTGATCTTCAGATGGCACTGGGCTGGAGGGAAGGGCAAAACAGACAGGAGCATAATCACGTTTGAAAATTTGCCTGCCACTTCTAACCACACAAAATGGGCAGAAAGTTTTTCCCTTAAAAGTAGATAGAGAACGAAAGTGCAGGAGTCGGAGTGGGGGAGGGGTGAGGTTGACTATCCGTCACTGTTGGCCTTTTTTAGTTTTCTTCCACGAAGCAAAAGCATGATCCGTCCTAATTAATAATCCCAGGAAGGTGGGCTCTGTCATCAGATAGCCCTGGGTCCGTTTTCTTGCCCAGCCCGTCGACTTGCTCTGCCACCTCCCTGGGCCTTGTATTCCTCCTCTGTGACCTGGGGATAATAGTACCTGCCTTCTGAGATTGTTGTGATAATGAAATGATGTTTTGTCGTTAGCACAGGGCCTGACGCTTAGCCAGTGTTCAGTACAAACGGGCTCTCATTAGAGTAGAAGACAGCAAGGTTTGCTTCTACCCTGTGTACTGGTGTGGGAGACGGCAAATGTGAAATGTAGATGAGATAAGCCAGTGAGCTAATAGGATGGACTATATCCAGGGGCCCTATGAAATCGATGCATAGTAAGCACCTGTTCAAGGTGGCTTTTTTATTTTGCGGTAAATAAAACAAACAAAAAGGTCCCTGCCTTTGTGACATTTATACCTTTGTCTCCCTATCTTCTCTCCCCTGCAGGAGGCATTGCCACTATTGCAAACAGCGAAAGCACAAAGGAGATCCCCAACTGCACTAGTGTTTAATACCGACAAGCCACGCGGTCCACCATCTTTCTGACTTTTTATTTTTGATGATCACTATTACTATTATTATGGAAAAAATGAAAATGTCTTTTCTAACCTTTGTTTACCAAGGGCCCCTTCATACATAGCAGGCAGATGCTTAGCTTTGGGAGGCAAAGGGATTCTTAGCTGATTAAACGGGACAAAAAGGATAAATGGCTGTATTCGTGCTATGGGCAAAGTATGCATCTTCCCATGGCCTTTTTGCTTTATTCTGCCATTAATGGTGCAATGACTCTCTTTTTTTCTTGTGATTCCTCTTTCTTTTTACAAGTTGGATTGGCTTTTCATTAACCTCTCATTTCTCCCTCCTGTACCCTCCCCCGGCACACACACTTAAAACATAAACCATTTCCCAGGTAGATCTGCAGGAGATAGCTTGGTGGGGAGTGAACGTAGCTGCAAAAAGCGTGCACACCTTTATGAAAGAGGCCCTGCCTCGTGCATGTCAATAGCAAGGCTACTGATGGCTTATTGTATATAACAACAATGTAAATACCTTTTTATTTCCTAAGAAATAATTTAATGTTTAGTAAAAAGGAAAACAGAAAAAAGAAAGATGCGTGTGTTGGCTTATGCACTCACCCTCAGAGCTGCCCAACCCCCAGGCCTGCTTGATGTGTTGGGTTCTGGATGCTTTCCAGTTGTCTGTCACAATTAACTCTTGCATCTCTGTGTCCATGCCATAGCTGGTTTCTACTTATATATATAAGGGGGGTGGGGGGTGGCTTCCTTTGGGCAATCGGTAAAGGAACGACTATGGTGACATCGTAGAACATGGGGGTCTTTTTGTTCCATCAGTGATATGGAAGAAGTTGCAAGATGAAGCCCACTAGAGACTTCAAACTGAGATCCAGATGGGGGTACAAGGCTTCCCCTCCCAAAAGAAAAAAGTTGAGGATATTATCAGCCCGAGAAAATGGTTTCTCGAACAAAGCCACGCAATGGATCTAAAGATGACAATGGCTCTGCTTTCTGGTTGGATTCCAAGGAAAATGTATAATGCTTATGGGGGATTCTTGGGCTATTCTTAGCTCAGAAAAGTCCCCTGGACACTAGATTAAGCCCAACGAGTGCCTCTTGTGATCAGAGGAGTTAGAGAGGTTGGGAGGGAGGTAGCATTTGTGGAATCACAAGCCCATGCAAACCCTGCAGGCCAAATAGGGGTCTAGTCTTTAATGATATTAGTCAAAGATGATTTTAGCAAAGCTGTGCTATTTGCTTGTCAGATGTACACAACTTCCTTAAAGTCAAATGTCTGCCTTCAGTTCCCTTAAAATAGTTCTTGCCTCTTGAGTGGCTGGCTTTCAAAGCCAGTGTTCTCTTTTCCAGCACCTAGCCCCTTTAACCATTTACACATATCAATTGTTTTCAGTCGGATCACTTTAAGCCATGTTATAACCTTTTCTATTTTTTTTTTCAGGCTTAGCCTGTGCACACTTTTAGAAAATGATATACTGTATATATGGGAGGAAAGGCCAATTTTGTACCTGTTAATACTTGTGGGATGTTCACATTTTTCTCTGTGAGACACTGAGAAAATGTGATCTACAGAAATCTGACTGGCTACAGCATAGATCAGGATTAGGAGTATTTCTAACGATCCTGCTTTTTTGTTTCGAGGGTTAAATGGGGCAGACAATTGCAATACTTGTACTAAACACTGGAATACAAATGCATGAGTCATATCTATATATACAGTATATGTACATATACTGTTCTTGGTTTTATTGTTCCATTTGAATATTTCTACTGTAAAAAAAGACAGTGGTTTTGAAATTGTTGAAAATAAATGTATTTTTGTACATCAAAGCTATATAGTTGTCTGAGATTTCTCTCTTTGGGCAGTTTTCTTTATTACATCGGCCAATGATTGCTATAATAATGCTACATAACAAAAAAAATCTGAATAGTTTGTAACAACAGATATTTATGTTTTGCTCTTGAGTCTTCAGGTTGGCGGTGGTTTGGCTGAGCTCAGTGGGGACTGACCAGTCTCACCTGGGCTACTTTGGATGTAGGCTTCAGTTGCCTCAGGTCTGCTCCACGAGCTGTCATCATTCCAAGACAAGCAGCTACGCAGGGTATGTTTTCCTTATGGTGGATTGCAGAATTCCAAGGCAGGCTGACCGAATACCCTGTGCCTCTAATGCCTTGGTTCAAAGTGGTCACTCTGTTTACCCATCACCTACATTCCATGGACCACATCCCCGTGTCCAACATGATTGGACTTGGGAAATAGACTCTGTCTACTCTGGTGTAAGACACTACTAAGTTATGTGATGAAAGGTGTGGGTAGGTAATTCCAATCTAGGAAGGGCATGAAGGATTGAGAACAATAGTTCAATCTATTATACCTGTTCATTTTCTAGGACCCCCATGGGGAGCCCTCATTAGATGGCCCATTTGAATCAATATCCAAGTTTCCCAACCCATTGTTTGTGGCCAGGACTTCTGAGCAAATGTCTGGGGAACTGCTTGGACTTTGATTGTTACCTCAGCTCCCAGTGAGTGGTAGAATTGGAAGTCTTCAAGATTTCAGAAGGAGTAATAAAAACAGAAGAGGAAATACTCCTCTCTCTCTCTCTCTCTCTCTCTCTCTCTCTCTCTCTCTCTGTCTGTCTCTTTCTTTCTCTCTAACCATTTTCATACTGTTCGATGAATCACACCAGTAACATCTCCTTCTCTTGCCTGTGCTGAGTAAGGAATTTGGAAGGATGAGTGTCTCTTCATATTAGGTAATAAGGGAATGTAAACTAAATATCTAGAATAAGAGCTATAAGTTGGATATTTTTGGTGTTTTTTTAGTGTTTCAAAATGTATGATAAATTTCCACAGATCCCAGAAACCCAAAAGCTTTGGTCAGTAATCTGCTGCCATATTTTGCATACCAACTGGCTATTCTGGAATCATATATTCTGAACTCAAATTGAACATGTAAGATTAAACAAAGGTGGGCTTTTTTCATGTGTGTGACTGTATTTAGAAATTAGAAATTATTCTTGGTATAAGTTTTTTTTGTGTTATACGCACCTTTTAAACAAATTTACATTATATAAGTACCTTCCTCAAATATTGAGGAGTCACTTATGGTACCTCTAAAAGAAGTAGTTGGTTCTTTCTGTCTAATTAGTGGTTCATAGCATAAAATGCCTGTCTTTAAGGAATTTTTTAATTTTTGAGCTTCACAAATAATGTCAAGTGTCTAATATTCTTATTCCAAGTCAAAGGTGAATTTTCTAAATGCATTAGATTTTGCTTTCCAGTGCAATTTAAGTTCTTCCCATGTTAATTTTATGCTAGGTTGATAAAATTGCTCCCAGATTAAAAAGGATGAAAGCGAAATAAAGTGGTAAAGCAGTATGAGTTAGGTGGTTCATTTGGGCTAAGCTTTGCTAAGAATATAGGCTCTGTGTTCAGCACCCACATAGGGCTGTCAGATTTCTCAGTAGCAGACAGGCGAAGGCAGATGGCACAGAGTGTGACTGGCTTTGTAGCTCTTCTATGCTGGGTTTCTCCCCAGTGGTGAGGACATTGCATCAGAATTGTCTTCTCTAAGGCAATTCTAGACCTGATAAGTCAGCCTGCAGAAGCACTCTGGAGCTGGGGCCCAGCTATCAGCACAGTAAGCAGGTTCTCTGAGGGTTCTCGTGTGTGCTAATGCTTGAGGGAAACTGCTCTGTCTGCTCCTGAAATAGTTCAGGGAGAGTCACTGGGTAAAAGTCATGTGCCCTGGCTCCTGTCACCATGATACAGGCACCTTAATCTACAGAAGTGAGAACAGCTTCCAAATTTGCTCATTTCCTTCTGGGCAACAGCTGCAACTCTGAGAGAGTCACTTAATTGAGTTATCTGGAACAGACACACACTGTGAATCAAGGTGGTGATGGATTGTACTTTGGAAAGAATAGTAAGCCAGGAATTAGGAGATCTCTGACTTTCAACAAGTATTTCTGGACCACGATTTCCTTATTTGTAAAAGGGAAGCACTTACAGCCTGCCTCAGTGGTTAGTTTTGCTTTCCAGAGGTGTGAAGAGCACATGGCTAATTCCAAAATGATTGAGAGATGACTATGATGGGCTGTACTTAGGAGAACCCTCTTCTTCTGTAGAGGGATATACTGAGACTCAAAGAGGAAAGTGACTTCTCTAAGGTCACACAGCAAATTAGTGCAGAGCTGAAGCTAGAATCCATGCCTTCTTTCCACCATACAACCCCCTAACAAATGCAAAGCTGATGGAACTGCACATCATTAAGAGTCAGTAGGGAGTCTAGTGGTTATGACAATATGGCTCCCGTGTTTATAATGTCCAGAATGGCTTACATTCTAACTTCCCGAGTGCGCTCATTATTCAGTGGCTCACGTCCTTCTACATATTGTTGCCCTGCTGACCCACTTGTTTAGCAGCTCATGGCCTGATGGCCTTGCTTCCCTCACTGGACAGAAGTCAGGCTGCTCAGTAGACAGCTGTCAGCTTCACATGCTGTGCTCCTCTAAAGCGGTTGGCCTTGTTCAACAGAAAGAAGGCCAGAGAACGTACATAAGCAATGGGGATGCCTCCTCCTGACACATATACCAGATCCTGCCAAATTTTCTGGTTTGCTCCAATGGCACTGCCAAAGGAGACCAGATGTATCCCAACAATTCCCTCTCAAAGTACTATGGCATCGTGATGTCCCTTAAACTTATTTTCGTTATCGTTAACTAGACAGTAGCAGAGTGCCCTTTAAAATGCTCTTTGCCTCTGTGTTTTCAGACCATATATCATGATGAGATATCGGTTCATTCAGAGGGACGTGGTAGACACAAAAAAAAGGGAGGGGAGCCTGGCCAGAGTTCAATTTATTCAGAGACTAAAAGTCTCAGTAAAACTTGGATCCATTACTTTTTAATTATCTGAGGCCCAGATGGGTAAAATGACATAATCAGTGTCCAATTTCCCTCTCTGTAAATGGACGACAATGACATCTATCTCACAGGGATGGTACCCAGATCAAATGAGATCATTTGGGTAAACACACACAAGATCACTAGGGCCTGACAAATAATGAATTGAATCTGAGAAGCTCTAGTTCTGTTGTGCTGGATCCGTTTCCTCTGCCCACTCCCCACCCGCCACTGCCCTGGCCTCAAGTTGTAAAACTGATCTGACTGGCCTCTCACCTAGGGCCGTGTTCCCAGGGATAGAATTCAGAATTACCTGGGGCTACACCCCTCTCAGCTCCCCCTCAGAAGGAAGAGAATTTGGGTTAAAATCCACTATTGACACCTTGATTCCAAAAGTCACTGCTCCTTTTTATTGCTTTTTTTATTGTTAGTACAACCGATTTAGTTTTCCTTGGACAATATGGAAGGGATAAAAAACGGACGCTTCTAATCAGGACTGCCAGAAATGCCTCAAACTATAGACTGAAGGCTCTCAGGTTCTGAAACATGCTCCTTCTTGCTGAACATAGTGATGCCCTGGAGGCAGCCATGTGGCTGGGACAAAAATGGTTTGGCCTTGCTTGTTTATGGTTTTGGGCTCCAGTATTTATAACTTGCTTCTTGTTGATGCTCCCTTCTTGCACAAAGCTTTTGTGGTGATGTTTGCAGTTCCAGGTCCTGCAGTTGCTCAAAGCCTCTCTGAGGGCCACTGACTTGTGTTCCTTCATCTTCACACATTGAAAAATAATCAGATAAAACAATTATTTTATATATATATATATATATATATATAGAGAGAGAGAGAGAGAGAGAGAGAGAGAGAGTGAGAGAGAGATATATAGATATATAGGTATATCTTTTTTATATATGGCCATATCTGGAGGTACAAAGGACAGGGTTTCTTGCCTTCAATTCTGGTCACAGCTCAAGGAGAGCTCTTTCAGAGTGTGAGCACAACATGGAGATTCTTTTCAAAATGTCAGAAAGACAGGAAAATAGATCATGACAAGCATACAGGCCATCTGTCATCACGACTTCGTCTCTGGGGAATGGCGCTGCTTGCAGCTACTAGAAATGAACCAGATAAAGTGGAGCGTTCAGTAATTTCCTCTTGCGAAAGTAGGTGGTCTGGTCCCTGAAGAACAGAGACCTGCTCAGCTGAAATGTCTGTGCCCAAAGTGTCCCATGTGCTGGAGCTGCTGGGCCCCAGGGATTTCTCCCCACCATGAAGCCCTACTGTTTCTCCCTGGAGCCTTTCCCAGTAGCCTCTTCTTATGATGTAGGGTCTTTTGGTGCTTATTCTCCCTTGCAAAGGGTTATTGAAATCAGTCTTCCAAGAAGTGGCTGCAATTAACACTGTGTCCAAGCATTGTCAATAGGAAAAGAAAGGAAGCTGTGCAGAAGTAACAGAGACAGAATAGAGTTGTTTTTCTTCTCACTAATCTGTCTTTCTTGGTTTCTAGATAGGATCACCTGGGAAGCACAAAATTGTCTCCATAAACAGCACACCTGGTCCTTGGAGCACCAGGATGATTTGCTCGCACTGACTTTCCACATCTTATGGTTCAATTAGAGGATTGTTGGGCTTTTTCCTTTGGCAGCTGAGACATTTTGGGAGAGGGACACCAAGGGAAGAAGAGAGGAGAGATGAGTCTAGGGAAATATAGTTAATTATTGTGAATTACAAAGCTCTACTTGACACATTCTTATTTCAACCTCTCAATTTCAGATTCTCTTCTATGAGGGGAAAATACAAATGTCCCCCAGATTTCTAATGTATTTATAATGGTACCAAGACAACTCTAGGTAGCATGTTCTCATCATGAGCTAGTCATCCAATGCTATGTATGCCTTGTGCCTCCTAATTAGTGGCATGTTGGTTGCCTAC